CCTCCTACTGTCCCCTCCCCCCCATACTCGTTCCGTCCCCTCCATACTCGTCCCGTCCCCTCCATACTCGTCCCGTCCCCCCCATACTGTCCCCTCCCCCCCCCCTATCGTCCCGTCCCTCCATACCGTCCGTCCCCCCCAAAACGTCCGTCCCCTCCATACTCGTCCCCCCTCCATCGTCCCGCCCCCCCATCTGTCCCCCTCCATACTGCCCGTCCCCTCCATCTGTCCCGTCCCCTCCAATCGTCCCCTCCCCTCCCTACTCTCCCTCCCCTCCTACTCGTCCCCCCCTCTATACTCTCCCGTCCCCTCCATACTCGTCCCCTCCCCCCCCTACTGCCCCTTCCCCCTCCATACTCGTCCCGTCCCCTCCTACTTCCCGCCCCCCCCTACTGTCCCCCTCCCCTCCATATCTCCCGTCCCCCCCTACTCGTCCCGTCCCCCCCATACTCGTCCCGTCCCCTCCATTTCTGTCCCCTCCCCTCCCAAATCGTCCCCTCCCCCCCATACTCGTCCCCTCCCCCCCTCTCGTCCCTCCCCCCCATGCTCGCCCCTCCCCCCATTGGTCCCGTCCCCCCCATACTCGTCCCGTCCCTCCATGCTGTCCCGTCCCCCCCAACTCGTCCGCCCCTCCATACTCGTCCCCTCCCCTCCATACTCGTCCCGTCCCCCCCATCTCGTCCCCTCCCCCCCATCCGTCCCTCCCTCCTACTGTCCCTCCCCTCCATACTCGTCCCGTCCCCTCCCTGCTCGTCCGTCCCTTCATATGGGCCCGTCCCCCCCATACTCTCCCGTCCCCTTTCCCTGCTCGTCCCCTCCCCTCCATACTGTCCCCTCCCCTCCATACCGCCCCGTCCCCCCCAATGTCCCGTCCCCTCCATATCGTCCCCTCCCCTCCATACCGTCCCCCTCCCCTTTATCTCGTCCCGTCCCCCCATACTCTCCCGTTCCCCCATACCGCCCTGTCCCCTCCATACTCGTCCCGTCCCCCCCATACAACCCCTGTCCCCCCCATACTCGCCATCCCCTCCATATCGTCCCGTCCCCTCCTACTCGCCCGTCCCCTCCATACTCGTCCCGTCCCCCATACTCGTCCCCTCCCCTCCATTCTCCCGTCCCCTCCATACTCGTCCCCTCCCCCCCTACTCGTCCCGTCCCTCCATAATCGCTGTCCCCTCCCTAATCCCCGTCCCCCCTACTCGTCCCGTCCCTCCATACACGCCCTGTCCCTCCAAAATCGTCCCCCTCCCCTTTTATACTCGTCCGTCCCTCCATAATCGTCCCCTCCCTTTTATATCGCCCCCTCTTTTCCCCTACTGCCCCGTCCCCCCCATATCGTCCGTCCCCTCCCTATCGCCCGTCCCCTCCATATCGTCCCGTCCCCTCATAACCCTCCGTCCCCCCCATACTCGCCCCCTCCCCCCCATACTGTCCCCTCCCCCCCATACTCGTCCCCTCCCTCCCTACCGTTCCTCCCCTCCTCTCGCCCCTCCCTTCAAATCGTCCTCCCCTCCATACTCGCCCCCTCCCCTCCATACACGCCCTGTCCCCCCCATATCGTCCCGTCCCCCCCCTACACGCCCGTCCCCCCCATATCGTCCTGTCCCTCCTTTCTGTCCCTCCCCCCCTACTCGTCCCCCTCCCCTCCTACTGTCCCCTCCCCTCCTATGTCCCGTCCCCCCCATACCGTCCCGTCCCCTCCAACTGTCCCCTCCCCCCCCTACTCGTCCCCCCCCCTCCATACTGTCCCGTCCCTTTCATACTCACCCGCCCCTCTACTTCCCGTCCCCCCCTACTGTCCCGTCCCCTCCATACACGCCCCGTCCCCCCCATACTGTCCCGTCCCCCCATACCGTCCCGTCCCTCCCTCTGTCCCCTCCCCCCCATACTCGTCCCTCCCCCCCTATCGTCCCTCCCCCTTTTATACCGCCCCGTCTTTTTCCATACTCGCCCCGCCCCTCATATCGTCCCGTCCCCTCCATACTGTCCCGTCCCCTCCATATCGTCCCCTCCCCTCCATGCCCCTCCCCTCCCTTTTATACTGGTCCCGTCCCCCCCATACTCGTCCCCTCCCCTCCAAAGCTCGTCCCGTCCCCCCCATACTCGTCCCCTCCCCTCCATACACCCCTGTCCCCCCCCATACTCGTCCCGTCCCCTCCCCTATGTCCCGTCCCCCCCTACTGTCCCGTCCCCTTTATACTCGCCCCCTCCCCCCCATACTCGTCCCGTTCCCCCTACACGCCCCCCCCTCCCCCCCTATGTCCCCTCCCCATAACGCCCCCGTCCCCCCCATACTGTCCCCTCCCCCCCCATCTCGTCCCCTCCCCTCCTACTCGTCCCGTCCCTCCATACTCGTCCCGTCCCCCCATACTCGTCCCTCCCCTCCCTACTCGTCCCCTCCCTCCATACTGTCCCGTCCCCTCCATTTCTGTCCCCTCCCCCCCAACTGTTGTCCCCTCCTACATGCCCCGTCCCCCCATATCGTCCCCCCCCTCCTACACGCCCCCCCCTCCCTACTCGTCCGTCCCTTTCATATCCCCCGTCCCCCCCATAATCGTCCCCTCCCTTTTACTCGCCCCTCTTCTCCATACTCGCCCCGTCCCCCCCATACTCGTCCCCTCCCCTCCATACCGTCCCCCTCCCCCCCCATACTCTCCCCCCCCCTCCATACACGTCCTGTCCCCTCATACTCGCCCGTCCCCTCCATATCGTCCCGTCCCCTCCAATCGTCCCCTCCCCCCCCATACTCGTTCCGTCCCCCCCATGCTGTCCGTCCCCTCATACTCGTCCCGTCCCCCCCCATACTCGTCCCGTCCCTCATACACCCGTCCCCCCCATACTCGTCCCTCCCCCCTACTCGTCCCCCCCCTCCTACTCGCCCCTCCCCCCCATAATCGTCCCGTCCCTTTTATACTCGCCCCGTCTTCTTACTGCCCCCTCCCCCCCCCTATCTCCCCTCCCCTCCTACCGTCCCTCCCCCCCATCTCGTCCCCCTCCCCTCCCTGCTCGTCCCCTCCCCCTTTTACGGCCCCCTCCCTCCAACTCGTCCGTCCCCTCCATGCTCGTCCCGTCCCCCCCATACTCGTCCCCTCCCTCCATTTCAGCCCTGTCCCCCCATACTGTCCCCTCCCCTCCCTATCGTCCCGTCCCCCCATACTCGCCCGTCCCCCTTTATCTGTCCCTCCCCTCCCTACCGTCCCCTTCCCCCACACGCCTGTCCCCTCCTATCGTCCCGTCCCCCCCATACACCCCTGTCCCCTCCTTCGTCCCCTCCCCTCCCTATGTCCCGTCCCCTCCATATGTCCCCTCCCTCCATACCCTCCCGTCCCCCCCAAATCGTCCCCCTCCCTCCATACTGTCCCGTCCCCTCCTACTGTCCCGTCCCCTCCATCTCGTCCGTCCCCCCCCCATACTCTCTCGTCCCTCCATACATGCCCTGTCCCCTTATGTCCCGTCCCTCCATACACGCCCGTCCCCTCCTACTCGTCCCCTTCCCTTTCATACTCGTCCCGTCCCCCCCATAATCTTCCCGTCCCTTTATACTCCCCCGTCTTCTCCTACCGCCCGTCCCCCCCATACTCGTCCCGTCCCTCCATACTGTCCCCTCCCCTCCATACTCGTCCCGTCCCCTCCCTACACGCCCGTCCCTCCTACTGCCCGTCCCCCCCTACTCGTCCCGTCCCCTCCATACCGTCCCGTCCCCCCCATAAACCCTTCCGTCCCCTCCTCTGTCCCCTCCCCTTCTACTCGTCCGTCCCCCCCTACTCGTCCCCTCCCCCCCTACAGCCCTGTCCCCTCCTACTGTCCCGTCCCCTCCCTACCGCCCTGTCCCCTCCCTACTGTCCTGTCCCCCCTACTCGTCCCGTCCCTCCATATGTCCCGTCCCCTCCATACCGTCCGTCCCTCCAAATCGTCCCCGTCCCCTCCTTTTTCGTCCCCTCCCCTCCTACTCGTCCCCTCCCCTCCAAAATCGTCCCCTCCCCTCCATACTCGTCCCCTCCCTTTTTATACTCGTCCCGCCCCCTCCATACTCGTCCCGTCCCTCCATACTCGTCCCGTCCCCTCCATACACGGCCCTGTCCCTCCATACTCGTCCCGTCCCCTCCATACTCGTCCCGTCCCCTCCATACTCGTCCGTCCCCTCCATACTCGTCCCGTCCCCTCCAAAATCGTCCCGTCCCTTTCATACTCGCCCCGTCTTCTCCTTACTCGCCCCGTCCCCTCCATACCTCGCCCCGTCCCCTCCATACTCGTCCCGTCCCCCCTTACTCGTCCCGTCCCCTCCTACACGCCCTGTCCCTCCATACTCGCCCCGTCCCTCCATACTGTCCCGTCCCCATACTCGTCCCGTCCCCTCCATACTCTCTCCGTCCCTCCATACTCGATCCGTCCCCTCCATGCTAGCCCCGTCCCCTATATTGTCCCCGTCCCTCCACACTCGCCCCGTCCCTCCATACTCACCCCGTCCCCTCCATTACTCACCCCGCCCCCTCCATACTCACCCCGTCCCCTCCATACTCACCCGTCCCCTCCATACTCGCCCCGTCCCTTCCATATCACCCCGTCCCCTCCACACTCACCCCGTCCCCTCCATACTCGCCCCGTCCTTTCATTTCACCCCGTCCCTCCTTTACTCACCCCGTCCCCTCCATAACTCACCCCGCCCCCTCCATACTCACCCGTCCCCTCCAAAACTCGCCCCTTCCCCTCCATACTCACCCCGTCCCCCCAAATATCACCCGTCCCCCCCATACTCTCCCCCCCCCCCCTCCATACTCACCCGTCCCTCCACACTCGCCCCTTCCCCCTCCATACTCACCCCGTCCCCTCCACACTCACCCCGTCCCCTCCATACTCGCCCCGTCCCCTCCATTCTCACCCCGTCCCCTCCATACTCGCCCCGTCCCTTCCATACTCTCTAGTAGGCTCATGACCCATACGTGGCCAGCGCTTCTTACTGAATTTAAAAATAATAATAATAATCACACATACATACGTACCTGAAGCTATGGTAGATGGGATAACAGAGGAGAGTACCAGCACCACGAGAGTTAGAGTCCTAGTACTCAACATTCTCATCTTTTTGACTCGATTGAAACTCCTTTCTGCACAAGGCTCGATCAACGGGGGAACTAAGATCCGCGAGGTTGAGTGATTCCTAGTTTCTGGGCTTGTTTGTGACCAGCTCGTGATCTTTGGGTTTATTTGTGACCAGCTCGTGGTCTCTGGGTTTGCTGATGACCGTCTAGTGGTCCCTGGGCTTGGTGATGACCGTCTAGTGGTTACTAGGCTTGGTGATGACCGTCTAGTGGTCCCTGGGCTTGCTGATGACCGTCTAGTAGTCCCTGGGCTTGCTGATGACCGTCTAGTGATCACTGGGCGTGCTGATGACCATCTAGTGGTCCCTGGGCTTGCTGATGACCATCTAGTGGTCCCTGGGCTTGGTGATGACCGTCTAGTGATCCCTGGGCTTGCTGATGACCATCTAGTGGTTATTGGGCTTGGTGATGACCGTCTAGTGGTCCATGGGCTTGCTGATGACCGTCTAATGGTTACTGGGCTTGGTGATGACCGTCTAGTGGTTACTGGGCTTGGTGATGACCTTCTAGTGGTCCCTGGGCTTGGTGATGACCGTCTAGTGGTCCCTGGGCTTGATGATGACCGTCTAGTGGTTACTGGGCTTGGTGATGACCGTCTAGTGGTCCCTGGGTTTGGTGATGACCGTCTAGTGGTCCCTGGGCTTGGTGATGACCGTCTAGTGGTCCCTGGGCTTGGTGATGACCGTCTAGTGGTCCCTGGGCTTGTGGATGACGTCTAGTGGTCCCTGGGCTTGGTGATGACCGTCTAGTGGTCCCTGGGCTTGGTGATGACCGTCTAATGATCTCTGGACTTGGCCTTGACCAGTTCTTTGTTACGGAACTTATGTTAATAAACTCCTGGTGTGTTTCGTAATTCGAACACTTGGTCCTAAGACTCACTCTTGAACAATTCTTGGTGCTGAGCTAGAGTTCGGAGGGAATCCTGGAACATTTACTGAAGGAGGGACACTTGAACTGCTGGAATGTGTCGAAAATGTCAGAAGGACGAAATGGACAGAGTGATTGTTTGATTTTGAACGCCAGGATATTTTTCAACACTTGATATTGTTCTAAGATTAACAATAATTCACCGAAGGTGAACAAAACGCCTTTTCCTTCATCACTGTTTACGCTGTTATCTTTTTTTTAACTTCTATTTTTTTTCTTCCCTCTCTTCTCAGATACGGTAAATTTTCGTGTTTCTTTTGTTGATTTCTTGGAGTGTAAGTTACTTAAGGTTAACTTTCTCTCAACAACTGCTGCCGCTGCTGCTGCTGCCACTGGTGCTGCTGCCACTACTGCTGCTGCCACTGCTTCTGCTGCTGTTGTGGTGCTGCCGACGCTACTTTGCTTGACTGGTACATAGCATCTGTGAGCAGCACGCGCGCACACACACCTGAGTGAGCTCTCTCCTGCGTTCAGTACATCACTGATGAATGTGTCTCCGGATGATGCCTTATCAACCAGTGATAACTCATGACAATTGTCTCGTATTTAAATGATTTGGATGAGGTACTTTTATACACACACACACACACACACACACACACACACACACACACACACACACACACACACACACACACACACATAGCAGAGGTATGATAAAGCTCACGGCTCAGGGAGAGTGACCTAGTAGCGATCAGTGAAGAGGCGGGGCCAGGAGCTCGGACTCGACCCCCGCAACCTCAACTAGGTGAGTACAACTAGGTGAGTACACACATACACGCTGAAGACTCAGATGAGTCAAAGAGATGTTAGGAAGTATTTTTTCAGCCACAGAGTTGTTAGGAAGTAGAATAGTTTGGCAAGTGATATAGTGGAGGCAGGAACTATACATAGTTTTAAGACGAGGTATGATAAAGCTCATGGAGCAGGGAGAGGGAGGACCCAGTAGCGGTCAGTGAAGAGGCGGGACCAGGAGCTGAGTCTCGACCCTGCAACCACAATTAGGTGAGTACAATTATAGAATTGTCAAGAAGTGGTACAATCTAGATGCTGCAGAGGCAGGATACATCGCTTTAAGAAGAGGTACGATAAGGCTTATGGAGCAGGGAGAGAGTGGGCCTAATAGCGATCAGGAGCTGTGAATCGATCCCTGCAACCACAAATTAGTGAACATATGCACACCAGTAGCGACCAGTGGAGAACCGGGATCAGAAACTGTGACTTAACCTCTGCAATCACAAGTCGGTGAGTACACATATTACGTAGGTTATTACACTGTCTCTATATTACTCAACAAGTGAACAATTTAGTTTGATCATCATGTGTGTCTACCGGAAGTTCCTGTAGCCAAGCCTAAGCCTGGCTACTACATCATCAGTCAGTATATTCACATTGTAAGTTGCTCTATGAATGTACTTATCTACGTTTATGTTATAATAATGAGTGATGGATCTACTCAGGCTTCTATCTGCTTTCCTCTGATATTCATCTTAATTATTTACTTCTCTCCTAAGCATTAAGAATAATTTCTTAAATGCTAGACACGAACATATCAAAATTATATTCAACGTTTCCCTTTGGGATACTTTTTTGGGCTAACTTACTACTACTACTACTACTACTACTACTACTACTACTACTACTACTACTACTACTACTACTACTACTACTACTACTACTACTACTACTACTGATAATAATAATAATAATATCTTTATTTCTACCAGTCCATGTACAAGGTATACAGACCATAGCTGACATCAATGACATAGTACTAGACAGAAAGCCGCTTGTTATGCAGAGCATTTCGGGCAAATTAGGTCAGTTTTGACTAATTTCAGGTACCCATTTTACTGATGGGCGAACAAGGACTAACGGTGTAAGGAAACACATCCAATGTTTCCAGCCCTTCGTCTGATGGCAAGAGTTCTCGCTTCAACGTGTGAAGTTAGTTTAATATGTTTATTATGCACCACATACCCATCCTGTGGGCGGTAGTCAAAAGATTACAGAGGTACATAATTGGTCCAGGGACTGGACTCCAAAGTTTTGATAGCTGAGCAAGTTACAGAGGTAATGAACTCACAATTTACAAAGGTAATGAACTCACAATTTACAAAGGTAATGAACTCCAGGTAAGTCTGGTCACAATCATGACAAGTTACAAAGGTATTTACAGATTACAGAGGTACGTAATGGGTCCAACGTGTGAAGCGAGAGCTTTTGCCACCAGGCATAACTCAACGTGTGATGAAATCCATAAAAATTGTAAACTATTTCCTTTTTTCCTGAATTTTGACTGTCTATATCTGGCTTCTCTACTGAGCGCGCCATTCGAGTCACATTATAAGTCAAATGTCTGCAGTGGTGAGTCAAGTGTCTGCAGTGGTGACAGTCAAGTGTCTGCAGTGGTGACAGTCAAGTGTCTGCAGTGGTGATAATCAAGTGTCTGCAGTGGTGACAGTCAAGTGTCTGCAGTGGTGAGTCAAGTGTCTGCAGTGGTGACAGTCAAGTGTCTGCAGTGGTGACAGTCAAGTGTCTGCAGTGGTGACAGTCAAGTGTCTGCAGTGGTGACAGTCAAGTGTCTGCAGTGGTGGCAGTCAAGTGTCTGCAGTGGTGACAGTCAAGTGTCTGCAGTGGTGGCAGTCAAGTGTCTGCAGTGGTGACAGTCAAGTGTCTGCAGTGGTGACAGTCAAGTGTCTGCAGTGGTGGCAGTCAAGTGTCTGCAGTGGTGACAGTCAAGTGTCTGCAGTGGTGACAGTCAAGTGTCTGCAGTAGTGACAGTCAAGTGTCTGCAGTGGTGGCAGTCAAGTGTCTGCAGTGGTGACAGTCAAGTGTCTGCAGTAGTGACAGTCAAGTGTCTGCAGTAGTGACAGTCAAGTGTCTGCAGTGGTGACAGTCAAGTGTCTGCAGTGGTGACAGTCAAGTGTCTGCAGTGGTGGCAGTCAAGTGTCTGCAGTGGTGGCAGTCAAGTGTCTGCAGTAGTGACAGTCAAGTGTCTGCAGTAGTGACAGTCAAGTGTCTGCAGTGGTGACAGTCAAGTGTCTGCAGTGGTGACAGTCAAGTGTCTGCAGTGGTGGCAGTCAAGTGTCTGCAGTGGTGACAGTCAAGTGTCTGCAGTGGTGACAGTCAAGTGTCTGCAGTGGTGACAGTCAAGTGTCTGCAGTGGTGGCAGTCAAGTGTCTGCAGTAGTGACAGTCAAGTGTCTGCAGTGGTGGCAGTCAAGTGTCTGCAGTGGTGGCAGTCAAGTGTCTGCAGTGGTGACAGTCAAGTGTCTGCAGTGGTGACAGTCAAGTGTCTGCAGTAGTGACAGTCAAGTGTCTGCAGTGGTGACAGTCAAGTGTCTGCAGTGGTGACAGTCAAGTGTCTGCAGTGGTGACAGTCAAGTGTCTGCAGTGGTGACAGTCAAGTGTCTGCAGTGGTGACAGTCAAGTGTCTGCAGTGGTGACAGTCAAGTGTCTGCAGTGGTGACAGTCAAGTGTCTGCAGTGGTGACAGTCAAGTGTCTGCAGTGGTGACAGTCAAGTGTCTGCAGTGGTGGCAGTCAAGTGTCTGCAGTAGTGACAGTCAAGTGTCTGCAGTGGTGGCAGTCAAGTGTCTGCAGTGGTGGCAGTCAAGTGTCTGCAGTGGTGACAGTCAAGTGTCTGCAGTGGTGACAGTCAAGTGTCTGCAGTAGTGACAGTCAAGTGTCTGCAGTGGTGACAGTCAAGTGTCTGCAGTGGTGACAGTCAAGTGTCTGCAGTGGTGACAGTCAAGTGTCTGCAGTGGTGACAGTCAAGTGTCTGCAGTAGTGACAGTCAAGTGTCTGCAGTGGTGACAGTCAAGTGTCTGCAGTGGTGACAGTCAAGTGTCTGCAGTGGTGACAGTCAAGTGTCTGCAGTGGTGACAGTCAAGTGTCTGCAGTGGTGACAGTCAAGTGTCTGCAGTGGTGACAGTCAAGTGTCTGCAGTGGTGACAGTCAAGTGTCTGCAGTGGTGACAGTCAAGTGTCTGCAGTGGTTAATCTCAGCGTCAGAAGTTAACTTTAATCTTCCTTGTAAGCACAGTAGAAATAACTAAAGTTTATCTATTTTACTGTCGGTAAATGCCACAAAAACTCATTGTCTCTCACTGTTTTTGAGATCCTCTCTTCTAATTGATCGATCCACGGCGTTTAGCCAATTTAAAAAAAAAAAAACTCGGTCTATATGGTAGAGCTAGAAGCCTACAGAAGAGCAAGAAAGGTGAGCGAAACGTTTTTAGTGTTTATTTTCAAATAAATGTCTCCGCATGAACCAGTGAGTCTGATAACAGCCCTCGACCAGGATGATGATGGTAAGTCTTCAGTATTGAGGGAAACACACACGTACAACAAGCATTAACTGGAACAACGTTTCGCTCCGTGTAGAGCTTTATCATAAAGACACATCAATAAACAGAGCCCAACGTTGTCGCAATAATTGCTTCTCCGCAGCGTGTCTTAACTACTGTCAACAGTAAGACGTTGGCATTCGAGACTTCTGCTCGAATGATGATGATAATGTAATATACTCTGTTCCATGGGAAATAAAACTGATTTTGCTTTATTGGATGAGTTATATTGATAACACGGATCAGGGTTACTCGTCATTACAAACAAGTCAGAAAAATATCGTGTTTATATAACGATGGCTACGGCAGAGCTAAGATAACATTACCAGTCACTCTTGGGCGTACTGAGGAGGGTAGAAGAGAGAGACGGAAGGAGGATGATATCTGAAGGACTTTCGAAGGGTTTTTGACCTCGCGGCCAGGTTCTAGACCAGGCCTCCTGGTGGATTAAGGAGATCTGATTAACCAGTCTGTTATTGCTGGCTACACACAGTTAAATGTACGAACTACACCCCGGTTAGTCAGGAAATGATCTGAGGAATTTGTCCAGTTCCCTCTTGAAGACAGCTTGAGGTTTGTTGGTAATTTCCCTTATGCATGGATGAAGGGCACTGAAGAGTCGGGGACCTCTGACCCACCGAGTTTTCAGCGATGAGTCCCAAGAGAGGGTGGAAAGGGAGTGTAGCAACATTCACCTGTACAGTGATAACACTCTACTCTATACTACTACTTACTATACTATTTATTACTACTTACTATATACTACTATACTACTACTAAAAATAATAATAATAATAATAATATAATAATATATAACAAAAATAATAATAAAACTAATCCTTCGATAACTGCAAAAATGAACAGAACAGAATCATTAAATACAACTTCCTGGATTCTCTAATCAGATATTATTTAATTACTAGCTAACAAGACAGACAGATTAACCTCAACTGTGAAGAATTAGACACATGTGCAACATCTGGGTATCTTTACTTGTAGACGTTTCGCCATCCAATGGCTTTATCAATACATTACATTGACATAATATGAAGACTGTAAAAAAATATACAGCAGACAGAGAAGATGAGGTAATCAGTCCCTCAGCCTAGGACCAGGTGATGGCCAACTTCCACTGGAAAATTCCTCCTACCAGTGACAATGTCTTCGTCTGCTGCATCTCCTCTGACCCAGTATACGGACCAATCATCCTGTCTATGCTTCAGATTTTTCTAGACTACTGTGCTCAACACCTGAGGGACTGATTACCTCATCTTGCACAATCCGCTGTATATATTTTTACAGCCTTCATATTACGTATTGATAAAGCCACTGGAGGGCGAAACGTCTACGATTAAAGCTGTTACAGATGTTGCAAGTGTGTCTAATTTATTATCTTGTCGGTAGTGAAAACCACTATTATACAGCTTCAACTGTATTGTCACGATGAACATTTTTTGGCAGAGGCGGTCACTATATGCAGCAACATGTACTTCGTCAGTGTGTCCTGACGCTGCTTCCCTCAACGTCAGTTATAGTATACAGTGTTGGTCTCTCTTGTAGAAGCCTTGTTAGTCAGGAATATTAACAGAAGTGCCTGTTACCAATAGTGCAACGTAATGTTTTCTAGTACAGCCATAATATAATATCCTACAAATTTCTCTGTTGGAGGTGAGATGGGCTGGGGTATTAAAGTAAATTTTTGGGTAGCTCCAGCATCATCAAGTCAACCAAACAGTGTTTACCAGCAGTCCTAAATTTATTTCTCAGCCTAAGAGGATCCATAATACTTTAATATAACTCATCAGCAGCCCGAAGGCAAGTTCTCAGTAGCAACTATTTTCTCGTCCAGTTGTCAATTATTTTTCATCCAGTTGTGATTTTCTTCAAGTCCTTTAAGTATCCTATTAAACTTGAGGAATTTCAAGTACCATCTGGTAATCAACTTAATATTTGCTACATCTCATCTTTACTGACGTTCATCTGTTGACAGTAGCATCATATCTGTACCACCATCATATCACCTGCACCAGTGCTAACGAGAGGGAAACACAGGAGACATCGTCAAACCAACAGTACAAAACTCCAAGGTTATAGGATGGTTATCCCTCAGTGCCAGTCGTGGGAAAGAAGTGAATAGTTAAATAGTCAAGGTTAATGTTTTAGTAGCTGACTTATATTCAGCTGACCAGTGTACAGTGAGAGAATCATAGCAGAAAAAGCCAAATATATCTATAAACTCAAGGAAAGTCAGGTTGTAGGTGGAGTTTACTTCCCTCAGTGTTTTAAAAATGGCTGAGTCAGCAGACCAGGTCAGGAATTTAACAACACGACACAACCCCGATAAATGGAAATTGAGGGGGATTTTGGGAAAGGATAAAAAACCCTCGATTAAACCTTTTTTGGTCTACAGAATGGAAAGGAGTTAGAAGTTAATTGGTTTAAGCCGGACTGTGAAGTGAGGTGGGAAGGGGAGTGTGTAATAAGGGGTTAAAATGAAAGGGGTTTGTGAAGTTAAGGGAAAAGTGAGCAGTGAAGAGGGTTTTGAGAGGAAATTTTACTAGTAATTCAGTGGTGATTGCTAAAGCAGATACTAAGTGTACTAGGGACTGGAAAAGATAAATAAATATATTGTATATGAGTAAAGGAGCGAAGAGTGAAATGGGAGGCATTAGGGGGTACAGGCTGCCATAATTATATTTATCTTTTTTTCTTCAATTCATGAAGAAAGAAATCAGTCATGGGGGCTGGAAAAAGGTGAATGGAGTAACAGCGCCCTGGACAGTAAAAGGACAACAGTTGCCATCCTACCAGAAAAGTAAATGTCACTATCGCCGCAAGGTATGGCAACACCGCATACCCTAACAAAAACAGTGGCACACAGCTCTTATTGTAGCGCTCTTAAGTGGTGATATCCAAATTAATCCAGGACCTCAAACTATTGTGCAGAGGCAAAACAGACAGATAAATGACGGTGATAATGACGGTCTAGTAGCTAGGGCAATGATAACCTTAACTCCATATGTAATGCATACATAGGTCAATGTGAGACAATACAGCCATTATTATCTCAAACACTACCAAACAGGTGCATACACTGTACTAAAGTACGCATGAAAAACACCACCAAACAGGTGCATACACTGTACTAAAGTACGCATGAAAAACACCACCAAACAGGTGCATACACTGTACTAAAGTACGCATGAAAAACAGAAAAGGCACCTTATGTAAAATGTGTAACGGGTGGGTACATGATGGATGTATGTACAATTATAGCAACGGTGCCAGAGTTCATTTTGTGTGTAACAAATGCACTTTGGCACAGTTACCCTTTAGCAGTGATGACATTGATTTACCTAATTTTAATACAAATGACCCATTGCCATATATTGATGATTATGATTGTTTTATGAAAACAGGCCTTCACTTTATTCATTTTCAACGCAAGATCATTCTTCCTAAATTGGCAGAGATTAGGATCCTAGCTAACAAATTAGGGGCGGCAGTTATAACCATCTCTGAATCCTGATTGGATGATACGGTGACTGACGACGAGGTCAAAATAGAAGGTTACAATATAAAACGCTTAGATAGGAACAGAAAACAGAAAGGGTGGTGGAGTATGTGCCTACATTAGAAATGACTTAGCTTAAAACCCAAGACCCGATTTAAATAACAATAAACTGGAGATTCTATGGTTTGGGAAATGCTGCTTCCCAAGACCAAACCCATCTTAGTAGGAACTAGTTACCGCCCTCCTACCCAGGACCAGTTCTTAGAAGACTTTTTCAGAGTATTGTTCGGACTTGAAAACAATTGCGAGACAATAGTACTTGGCGACTTCAATATCTGTTTTCAGCAGCAAAATAACGGGCTATGCAAAAGGTATAAGCAAATTCTAGGTTTAAATAGTTACACTCAACTAATTAATACATCAACACGGATCACACAGTTCTCAGCCACCCTAATTGACCACATACTTTGTAACCGCGCTGAGAACATTAGTCAGTCAGGCGTCATTACCACAGGTCTTAGTGATCATTTTTATCATTTACTGCACCAGGGGAAAAACACTAGGGATAGGATAGGCCTACACAGACAAATAAAAATGAGGTCAACTAGAAACTACAGTAAAGAAACACTGGTAAATAGGCTACACAATTGTGACTGGACAGAGATAACAAGTTGCACGGACGTAAACGATGCCTGGGAAAAATTCCCAAAAAAAATGTTCACTACCATCCTTGATAATATTGCACCAGTTAAAGAGGTTAGGATTAAACGAAGAACTGAACCCTGGATGACTACTGAGATATTAGATAATATGAAATTCAGAGCAGCTGTAAAAAGATTTAAAGCAAACAGACA